GTCCAGTCATTAAACATTTTTTAATCATGGAGATTCAACAAAATTGTTGGAAAAGGTTTCTTACTATAGCGGGTTTCAGCTCTTCAGTACCTCTACTTTAAAGAAAAAAATAGTTTACCAAAATCAGACTTGGGGAACCACCTGAAAATAGGTTAATTCCAAAATGGCCACTATTAAGAAAATAAAAGTTGAAAAATAGGTCATAAATATTAAACTAGCTGAGCTAAAAACATGTGTAATGTTACTTATCATATCAGATTGACAAGACAAACACAATAATATGTATTTTCAATTTTAAATTTACTAACAATTTCAAAATGGACACCAAATGTACCAAAATATAAGTAAAATCCAAGAAATAACAAAGATGAAAATATGTCATAAATATTGAACCAACTAAGATAAAAACATGCATGATGTGCCTATTCATATCAGCTTGGCAAAATAAACACAACGGTATATATTTTTCAGTATTAAATTTACTAAAAATTTTAAAAGTACCTAAAGATAGATAAAATCCAAGATGGTGACTGTGAAAAAATAACAAAACTGAAAATGTGTCACATACATGGACCCAAGATAAAACCATATTATCTACCTAATCAGCTTGGAAAATAAATGTAACAGAATATATTTTTCAGGTTTAGGTTTATTACAAATTTCAGAATGTGCAAAAAACTAAAAACTAATGTTCTGAATATATTCAAAACCCAGGTACAGTCGAATGTATAATGCTAACATTACTCAATATTTAAGATGACTCAATACATACACTTTAGTTGTTGGATAGCATTTAATATGACATACATGGAAATATTGAGAATTTTAACTAATGTTTTCACATGAGCTTGGGTGTCATTAATCTATAGTGTAAGGAGTTGGTCCGTTGCTGCATGTTATCCCTTTACATTGCCCACATGCCAAGTTACATGGAAGTCCATTTTTCTTACAAGAACATGCGTTTTTGTCACACTTTCCAGTGCAGTTGCATTTAATGATCTTAAGTAGTGATTCTGGTGCAGCCACTTGATCCATTCTGTATGGCTTCAAGATAGACTCGTGATGGGTCTTACAGAGTACCCAGCCCAATTCTGTAGCCTCCATGTTGTTACCTACCCATGCCTGCACTTGAATGTATACTCGATGACTGTGAAATCTGGCGGCATCTGATGTTGGTGGAAATCGTTCTAGTGGCGGGAGATAACTTGTACTGGAAGCCACTTTCTTGGTGAATTTTGATGCTCGTTCAAAATTCAAATCTGAACCATGTTTACAACCATAGATGATCGCAAGAGCCTCATTACCAGCTACCTCAATATCAATATGAGTTTTATTTGGTAGTATGAACACCTCAGAGATTTCCTTGAGGCTACGATATTTTCCCATAGCTGACATTTTTCCTATGCCATATGTCCTTGATGTAGTGTCACACCCTGATAATGCATGAATAAAGAGGAGAGATTTGCTTAGGTCAGGGTCAAGGTTCTTCTGCAGAATGGATATATCAATGAGCTTTGTACTAGTCTTAAGACAGATGGTCTCATGGTATGTGGGTAGAAAGTGGTGTTGTAGCAGAACGAGCAGATCAGTGTCATCCCCACAACTACCACAGGCATCGTTATAGCAACTGTACAGGCAGATATAGCAATGTCATAATCAGCATCCCCGTGTGAGTGTCTGACCTGAATGCCCTCCTCTTTCTCTAACTG